CAGAAATAAGAACATGACAGGAGGGTTAAGCACAAAACAATATCTGTCAGCAAGTACGAGTCATAAAATAAAATAAATGTGACTGTTACAGGTGGGCTTGTGGCTGGTGTAGAATCTCATGCTTAAAGATATAGGCTCTGTGGCCGGGAGTGGTGGCTCACGCCTGTAATCCTAGCATTCTGGGAGGCTGAGGCAGGTGGATTGTGCTGAGCTCATAGGTTCAAGACCAGCCTAAGCAAGAGCAAGACCTTGTCTCTAAAAAAAAAAAAAATAGCCTGGCGTTGTGGCAGGTGCCTGTAGTCCCAGCTACTGGGGAGGCTGAGGCAAGAGAATCGCTTGAGCCCAAGAGTTTGAGGTTGCTGTGAGCTATGATGCTACAGCAATCTACTGAGGATGACAAAGATTCTTTCTCAAAAAAAAAAAAAAAATGACATAGTCTCCAGAACCAGAATATGTTGAATACCTGGGTTCAAACCTTTGTTCTGCCATTTAGCTATTGGGTGATGATAACACATGCAAAGTTTTAGTATGAACAAAGTTTGTTTTCTTAATCCTATCAGTGAAAATAGTAAAACTGGGGAGCTGATCATAATCCCAAAAAATCCTGAATGCTATAATCACAAACATTGAAATCCTAAAAGATCAAAATCCTGAAATATACCTCTGGAAAAAATATTTTAAAAATTCTCCACAAATATTTATTTATATGTGAAAAGGGCAATTTATGTGAGAAACAAATGAAAACACAACAGAACACCTCATGGGCCACTTCACAAGATAAAACAGGCAATACTAACACGTTTGCAGGCATCAATGCTCAAGGATCCTAACCATGGTGCAATAGTTCAGAGACAACTTGCATTCGTAAGTAAATAAGTCAGAAAGGGAAATGGATCAACGCACATCATCATCAGTAGTAACTGTGTGCACCCAGCTTTATACCTGTGGTGGTCTACACTAGCATGACAACCTTAGTCTTTGACTAGATTGATCAAAAACTGTGACGGTTCACCACCACAAACACAGTCACCAAAGAGCTGAGATCTCGAGAAATTCTCTTTCACGAATGCAGATGTGCAAAGAGGAATCTCTTTATAAGGGAATGTCACCCTTTCTGCATACACCCAAGACGCTTGCACACAAAATCTGTATTGTGATAATGCACTTCCACGGAGTCAAATTTACAAAACACACATAGAACAAATTAGAACTCTCTACAAGTTGCTGTGCAATTTATACCTTCAATTTATACCAGATGCCAGCAGCATGACTCAGTCTGAAAAAGCCTAAAAACCCAGCAGATCCATCATGTGAGCCTTGGAGTCCAAAGGCCTGGAAGCCTGGAGGTCTGAGGTCCAAGGCAACAGAAGGGAGGTCTGCACGAGCTGTGAGGGAGACCAAGGGAGACCAGACCATTCTGCATGTGTTTCCTCCAAGCCCGGAGGGCAGACTGGATGGGGCCCACCACACTGGGGGCAGATCTTCCCTACCTGGTCCACCTAGACTTGACACTGAGATCCTCCAAACCCCCCTGCCCAGATGCACCCCAAATAATGCTTCTCTAGATTTTAGTTGTTCCTTAATCCAGTCGAGTTGACACCTAAAATTTAGTCCACAAGTGCAGGTGTTGTCAGTTTGACACCCACACACATCCTAAACGTTCTGAATGTCCAAATAAAGATAATGACAAAACTAGTATTTCTGCCCAATGTGACACCAGTACCCAGTGACTGTGATGTTCAGATTTTAGATGTTAGGGATTTAGCCTTTAGGAATTTTGATCTTTCAGGATTTCAACATTCGAGAGTGTGACATTCAGGCTCGGGTCTTTCGGGATTATGACCCAAACTATAACACTACAGCAGTATGTAAAAAGAATTTTTATATTGATTAACTGCTTGTTGTCAATAATTTTGACCAAATTTTCACCAACTACAAAATGTGCAGAGATAAATTTTGCCACTCAGTAACAAGAAAACTGAGACCACACGTTGGAGCAGCAGGAGCACTGTGCTGTGGGGGTGCTCACTGAGAGGGGGGGCGCTCACTGAGGGGGGGTGCTCACCGAGAGAGGGGGGTTCTCACTGAGAGAGGGGGGCGCTCACTGAGAGAGCCAGGTGCTCACCAAGGGGGGGTGCTCACCGAGAGTGGGGGGTGCTCACGGAGAGAGGGGGGTGCTCACTGAGGGGGGCGCTCACTGAGAGAGTGGAGCAGCTGGCTCCAG